GAAACTTTTAATAAACGTTGAATATTTGGTTAATTTTTAATTTTCTACAGTCCAAAACAAACGATTGATGGATAACATCCAGATAATATTGTTATCCTTAAGTTGCCGAAATTCGATTTTTGTGCGATAAATACAGCTCAAATGAGAGTAATTCTGCTAAAACGTGATTTTAGGTGGCGAAAACTGGTGTGTAGCGTCCTCTTAACATTATATAATTTATTTTTCATACTAGCGTGCACTTGACCACTAAGTATACCAATATCAGGTATGTAACTGAAGCTCGTAACATAACCACATTCAAAAGAATTTTCACCCTTTGAAAAAATTTTTTTGTCATCAATAAAATTCATGATGCAAGAAAGCTTGATGATGCTGTTTGAAGTCATATTTTTTTAACTAAAATAAAATTATTTCCAACGTTAGCAAATTGCTTAATAAGGGTAATTACTACTTACCTTGAAAAAGCTATTCAAATAGCTCGATAGGTATAAGGTAACCAGTGACACTTAACTGACCCATAGATGATCAAAACAGAACTCCTGTGTAACACGTACAAGCAGAAAAGCTCAAAAAGAAAGACAACAAATAAATATATTTTAATAGGTATAGTTAAAAAATATAAAAATTGTGTACATTATCATAAATTGGAGGGAAAATAGTGTATAGGTACAATGAATTGCAATAGTATAAGATATTAATAATATTTAATACTTAACTGAATGATTTGTGTATAATGGTGTATGGTAAAAAGTACTGCAAATTGTTTGTTTTGACGAAAAAAAGGTTTAGCTTCATATTTTTGGTCGGTATATATGTATAAACTTGTAAAGAACACGTTTTTAGAAGTTAGAACTTTAACAAAAAAATACAAACACCAAAAATATCAATTTTTTTCAAACAATATTTTCAACCTATGCATTTCTTATGGAACGAATAGTGATAACAGTTTGTTTTGAACCGTTAGTCTTATCAATAGACAAAGTGACGTCATACTATTTGTGCCTATTATCATGACAAATTATACGGGTATGTCAGCAATATTACGGATTCAGAAACAAATCGCGCACCCACCCTCCACCCAGCCATTTACTGTGACGTAAGCATTTCTCCGGTTCTCATTGGTCCACCGCCGTCACTGCCGCAATAGCCGCCTCCGCCGAAGACTCCACCACCACTCCACCGCTCAACCTGTTGGAGAAATGCTTACGTCACAGACATGCGTATCACGAGTTGCTGACATACCTATTTATTTTGTCATGCCTATTATATTATTATTATTATTATATAGATAAACCTATATACTATATAGATACATTGGGCATGTATTATATTGCATTACACACGATCGACTGTATCGTTCCATCGTATTGCAATCACATTGTATTTAATATTATTTACCGCGAGAAACAATGAGAAAAGCCACGCATAGAGTATCGTATAATTCATATATTATTATACTATAAATATAATATACAGCAGGATGTAACAGAAAGACCTGAAAAATGGAATAACTTTTGTACTAATCAATATTTTTTTTTAATTTACACTTTACACGTATAGTAACTATAACGTTTTTTTTCAATTATTTAATAGTGAAAATAAAAAATATGCACAGTCTTATCATTGGGCATACTTCTTATTTCTTATACTATGGTAAATTGTATGGATAGGACATACACATAATATTTTGATTTTTCAGTTTCATATATGCCCGAATAATATTTTTAAATTACAATAAAAAACCAAGATCGTTAATAATGATTTTAATATGCAATTTCGTCCAAATTTGAATTTAAAATTTCTGTAAAAAATAACTATGTTCATTTAATTTTAGATTTTTTGATTACAGTATGAACTATTTATGAGAACTTTTGTTTTAAATTTGCAATCCTTAGCTATAAAAACTGAAAATTTAATAATATTAGATAGCCGTCTCCTTCTTGTCATCGAAGTCGGCCGCCATTTACAAAGCAGGCAATGTTTACAAAACAATATTATCAGAATTCAGTTATCACAGTATATTGATTAATCAAATAAATATATTATTATGTCTGAAATCTGAACTCTATTAAATTCAAAATTTAAAACTAATAACTATTGCTTAATATTTTATATTTTGTTACGTACCCAACTTATGTAATATCCAATTATTTTATTGATTTATAGCTGAGTGTGAAGAATTAATATGGATATTATTGTTTGAATTATTTGGGTACCTACCAATTTGGTTTCACCACCGCCAGAAACAAATTTAATATAGGTATGTAGGTACACAGGGTACACTTTTTTGTCAACTATTTGTTTTATAACTTATATCAGCTATTTTTTCCACATGTGTGCGTAGACTATAATATGCCTAAAGAATAATATTGTTTATTATGTCTTATTTGTCAAAAAGTTAAAACAAATATTATTTGTAATATTAATATATTTATTTATGTAGGCACAAAAGTTTAATCTATACTTTTAACAATATACAATATTTGTATAAACTTGCAACTTGCAAGTGAACAATTTTATGAAAACAAAACAAATTAAAAACTTTAAAAATAACAAACAAAAGGTTTACTGGTGATAAAATAAAATAGCTTTAGTCAGTGTGTGGCGTTTATTAACAGAGTTAAGAATATTGGTAGAAAACATTTTTCCAAATGTATGTAAACGTACACTCAAATATTTTTTTATAATCATTTGGATCAAAACCATTTTATGAGGACGGTCTAATAATGATATGTTCTCACATATTAAATCACTAAAAATAATATTATTTAATACTAATAATTTATTGCATCTCAAAATTATATTTCTTTCTAAGTTAGAAATATTTAAATCTTAAATTATCTGTATAGAACAGTAACATTTTTTCAGTGTCAACAATAACTTTAAAAACAGTATCAGAGGGTAAGATAAGACCCCCACGGTTTTTGAAGTTAACAAATCGCAAATGAATATCTGAGGAACAATAATCATGGTCAATGGATTTCCTTAAAAGAGCAGTAATACATGGATTACATTCTATTTTTAGTATAATTTTTCTAACAATAAATCCAGAAATGTAAAATAAAATATTTTCTTTAGCATCTTTCATATGAGAGTTTCTACAATTTAGCAATTTCAACCTATTACTTGTTTCATCATCAATCATTATTGTGTCATTCCCATTTTCATCACCATCATCAATTAATGTTAATTTCCTATTCCATTTAAAATCTAGTATAGATCCAAACGGATCGTCATCAAATGTGTTGCAGTTTCCATTTGTCTGACATTTAATTGCATTTTTCATAAGAATCTGCTTCATAGCAGTTTTGAACTGTTGAACATAGGGATTGTTATTGGATCCATACCTCTGTCTTACACGAGCAAAAAAGATCTCTAGATGGTCTTGAGAAAACTTATAAGAGAGAATATACTTAAATTCTGGACACTCAGTAAATAATGATTTTGCAATAGCAAACATTGACTTAACTGCAGTTGCAAAACCAAAAATAAAAGTTTTTTTATTTGTCTTATACAAAAGCTTATCACCAATACTCAAAGAAAACAGATAATCAATTAAAGGTAATATCGTATTTTCCATAAACTGAATATTAGCTTTAAAAATAGCGGATTTATATCCTTTGGCAAAATTGTTTCGTGCGTTTAAAAAATCAAAAAGCCTATCAATACGTATTGCGACAATATTCTACAGTAGCCTCAGTATTAGAAAAATTAGGAGAGTTAATCAATCTAAGGTATTCTAAAGCATCCGCTGTTGATGTGCTAAGGGTTTGGGCAGCAAATTTGACTTTCATCTTATTATTTTTCCAAAATATATGAGATGCATTTAATTTATTAGACAATTTGAAACTTAACTCTTGTTGTATAAAATGCAAATTTTCAATATAACTCCACATGATTGTCCCTTTATTTGAATTTATTTCTTTTATGTTCCCCAATGTGTTTCTAGCCAATTTCAACATATGACATGCGTCGGGTATAAAATAAACATTGTCATTTGTAATTGGGTGTTTAAAGCTACATTGAATATCATCATAGTTATCGACATCTAAATTACAACCTAATTTTTTCATAGTTGAAAAATTCGTAGCACAACCATGTTGTAGACCAAACTTTTAAACCAGCTGCATGGGTTAAAGGAAGAGCACATTTAATGAGTTCAGCCTAAGCTGTTGCTCCTATTTTGTTTTGTAAAACATATCCTATAGGTATCTTCCATTTGCCATTACAACTTGTTAGCATGAAAACAAGAGCTTCGGTGGCAGTATTATCTGTACATTCGATATCTAAATTATTACCAAAATCACAATAACCTATAAACTGTTTGCTTTTTGGATCCCAAATAATTTGTTGTTTTATAGCCATTGCATCGATAACTAGGTTACAATGTTTGTCGAATGATTCCAATTTTTCAAGTACACTTAAAACGTCTTTAAAAAACTCGGGTTCTCCATTTATGGATGAAGTCCAATTCCTTATTGCTGATACATGTGGAAGAGCTAATATTGATCTAAAAATTATACCAATAGTTAGTAATATTAATACAATTCCAAGGGCGCCCATCAATCAGAACCTAGGAGGGTTACAATATCATAAAAAAATAACTAAGAACCAACTAAATAGATTTTATTAAAGAACAGAAAATAAATACACAACATAGATAAATAATGTACCTATGTAATATGGGCTAGCCCCCCTCCCAATTTGCACCTATGGGCTACATGTCACCTCCTTGCACCCCTTAATAGGCGCCCTTGTACAATTTTATTATATTTTGTAAAATGTTTCTAAAATTGTATTTAAATCTTAAATGCATTCAAATACATATAAATAAAGCTGATTAAAATATTAATATTAATATAATAACTAATTAAAATATTAATATTAATATAAAAGCTAATTAAAATATTAATATTAATATAGCATCCAGTATTACAAAGCGTAAGCAGTTGGCTTGTTTTTTTAGAAATGATTGCATCTCACAATTTAAGTAGGTACAATTAAAAATATGTCAACCCATGTAGACATATTTTTGTGTACTTTTGTGAGACATTTGTATATAAAAATTGCAATTTTACTAACCGGCAATATTGATAAGCTTTGGGTGAATAATAGTGCAATGTTAAAGCAAATTTCTTTATTTCAGCGCTGTACCGATGACCTTTAGCATGCCTTTTACAATTTTTCAGCTGATTTATAAAAATTTCTTGAGAAAGCCCTTCAAATTTACTACTTATAGCTTCACCATCATCACTATTCAACAAACCTTTTTGTTTTAAAGATTTCAATAGTTGTTGTAAACTATTTATCTTTAATCGCTGACGCCTAACTCTCTGTTGTAACAGTTTCAGTTTTTTCTTCAGCTTGGTTTTAGTTGGTGTAGAATGAGTTATAGGCGATTTTGGAAAGTTCAATCTCCTAGCAGGTGTTACTAATGTAGGAGAGTGCTGAATACATTTTGAAGGTGTCTTTAATAAAGGAGATATAGAGTGTGGTGTTTTGATGGGTGTTAAACTAACATTTGGTGGTGTACTAGTGACAGATAAATTAATTGCAACTGATTCAATAGATTTCTGTGATTTCAAAATTGTAGGATTTAAATTAGGTGTAATTGTCATACTGGTACTTTGTAGTGGTGTTTCATGGATAGCTTCAATATTACACATTTTTTTATTAGGTTCCAAATTTCCAGACATAAGAAGTGAAGGAACTGATTCACCTTTTAACATTAATTTATAACTTCCTCCAGGTCTTGGCACAAAATCAGAGCGTAAAAAATGGTCACTACATACTCTACTAGAATTATTTGGATTAAATCCTTTACGCTTAACTGCATCAAGCCATAATTGTTGTTTATTGGGATCTTTTAAAGGAAACCTACAATTTATCAAATATACAAATAATAATCAAATTCAGGTCTATTTTTTTCAGATAGAAAACTAAAAGTTCTCACTTAAAAAAATGTTTGGAACCACCACGTATCTGTCTATTTGTACATCTGTGCACTGAACATGAGACTGGCATAATGGCAAATAATAGTATTTATTATTTACAATAGTAAATTTTAAAAACTAATTAATTAATAACTATGTTTTTTAAATTTACTCAACTTTATTCAAGCAGTCAAGTCGGTAACACAGTAACACACTAACAAAAGTCGCAAAGTGCAATACTTTATGGCCTACTGTAACGTCGCAAATCTCTTTATTGAGTACTCGAAATTCGTAATATGGTGAATGGTGATAATTGATAATAAGTATAGCATTATCAGTATCCTCATGATAAGAATAAATGTAAACATTGCCTGCTTTGTAAATGGCGGGCGACCTCAATATCGGTCACCACTGTAGTACGAAGACGACTATCTAGTTGTTATATATATCTATGGTTGCGACTTGCGGTTCCCGCCGTTGCCCGCGTCTTCGCTTATCGTATTCATTATTTTTTCTGTTATCGACATTCATGTTTCTGGTGACGTTCGGTGTAGATGTGTTTATTCGCCGCAGCGCCGATAGAAAAACCACGTTTTATTTGTTGTCTCGTTTGGTACAGTGTTGTAGTAGGCCGTACTATATTATTTATTTATATTATAATTTGTGATTCTTTATTTCTTAAATGGTTTCTAAGACATACAAACAGAAGTTACGAAAAAGGAGAAATTATTTTTAAAAAAAAAACCACTAATACAGTGTGTATGGATGAACGTTTAATAAAAAATTCGATCACCATAACCACCAAAAAAATTTCTAAGAAATCAAAAAAGATATTTCCATTTTATGGAAGCGTAGAAAAGTGGACTAATAAACTAATGCATAAATTAAATATGCCACTGTACAAGTCTAGAATTGTTATAGATAGGATTTTTAAATGGGTTTTTAAATTCAGAAAGCAAAACGTTGTTATTTATTAAAAGACATTTAAAAAACTAAAAAAAGTAATAAATAAGAATATTAACTATACAGCTAGTATTTCAGATATTAATGATGAACTAAACTACAATTTTCTTAAATTTATCTTAGGGCAATCTTATCATTCCAAATATACAGAACCATTTTACACAGATACAGTTTACAAGCCATTGAGTTCTATGAATAAAATTAAACTTGAAATAAATGAAAATGGTAAAATAATGAATTTATTTCAGCCATTTAACATAGAACTTCCAGAACTACCTTGGTATTGTAATGAGATGTTATGTAACTTAAATTATACATATGCTAAATTTTCCTTTTTTTTTTCATCTTTTTTTTTCCTACGTTTACGTCGGTTCCTATATATATATTTTCCATTAATCGTTATATTATTATATTTTATATCTAGTGAATATTAATATTCCTATACTGTGATCAAGACTAGTATTAAATTGATTTTATTCTATTCTATTGTCGTGTGCATTTTTATCTTGCTAATCGAACCCTTGACGTTAGAGTGTGCTGTAAATCAAAGCATCATTCCACGACACTGGCTAAATTAACAAGACCTTGTCTTTGTAATTTCTTATTGAGATTTATTTGGCCATTCGGTCTTTTGGTGTTTCCGTTAAAAAATTCGTTATACACACGATTTTTGAACCAACCACCAAACGATCAAATTCCAACATTTTCCTTATGTTGTCAAACCGTTCGGTATATAATAGTGCACTATTTATCAATCTCCAATAATAATAGATCAAATATGCCCCTATTATCTACCGCCCGATTTCTAATCTTATTTCTTTTCTGTTTCTATTCTGAAATTAATTAATTTTAAATTACTATTTTAGCTATATTTAAATATTTTTATAACTAATTACTAGTATATATCGTTACTTCCTGCTCTTTTTATTTACTTTAATTTGTTAATCAAGCTATTTGTTACTTGCCATAATAAAAGTTATAAATTCGTAAAAATTATATTTCACAACGTGGTGTTCTGCATGTGGTATTGTTTATATTGGTTGGAATTGTTCTACCAAGTTCTGGTACCCATATTCCCTAACCATTCTGTTGAATATGCATTTGGTAAATCTCACATCCATCTTTGGGTCGTGAGCGTACGTTATCTTGTGTTTTTGTGTACAGACGCCGTTATGCGCTTCAGTTAAATTCAACAGTCTACCATTTTTCTGGATTCAACCTACATTATACTCGAAAATTCTCTCAGTTGTCTTTCCCTTTAGTTTTTCTAAAAGCATGTAGAAGTTCCCATCAAAATTTAAATCGTAGCATCTAATATTTAATATTTCTATGTGTCCTAACCCTAATCTACTTAGGATGTTCCTATCGTACGATCCCCCAAACCATACCACTACATTTACTTTATCTCCACGTAAAATATAATTTTTTATGAATTCTGGTGTTAAATTGTTTAATTGTGAATTCAGACTTTTATTGAGTTGTGCTAAACAGGTCGTCTCCACTGCCTTTTTGTTGTGGAAAATCCGCTTTATTGATTTCTCTGCCAACTGTATTTCACGAACAGTCATTACTCATTACCCTTACTTGTTCATGAAGTGGCAAGAGAAGCGGTTTCCCCTCAAGCTTACGAATCTTACACTTGTTTAAACTGTTTGAGATTGCTCCTGATATTAGCACAATGTCTGTTTTCTTCATATTGGTGAACTCGAAATCCATGACATCGAACTTGACTTCCCTTCTAATTTAAAGTCGTTAATACATTTACTATTATTAATAATATTAATACGTGTTCTATTTCTAATTACTATTTCTAACTACTTATGTAAATATTGTTTCTATATTTTCTAATTAATTAATTATACTTGTTGTATATAATATATTCTAAATAATAAAATAATCTTATATAGTTTATTTTATTTGGGGTGGCACACCCTCCCCTCCGAGTGGATTTCGTTCGTCTACCTTATTTAATTTTTGTTCAATTTTGATATTATCTGCGCAGAGTTTACCTACTCGTACCATTTCATATTGTGGTCGCCTCAACGAAGTAAGCCTGCATTTATACGTTATATATTATATAAAATGATTAACATTACTGAGAATACTATCAAGCCCAATGTTAAATAAAATAAATAATTACGCGTATCGCTTGCTTCTAGCTGTCCTGATTGTGTTAATATTTCATTATCGATTTGTTGTTGAACCTTGTCTAATGATTGTGCTATTTCGTGTATTTTTTCGAGTTTATGTGAATCCTGTTTAATCATTAGTTTAGGCATGTTCATACTTTTTATTCTATCGGATACCTTAAATGATATTTTTCCCTGTCCTACTTCGGGTATAAAGTTAACATAGTGTTATGACTTTATTTCTTGTCAATAATATTTTAATAATTTTTCCCTAATTACGATGGACCAATATACCAAAGGAGACGGTTATATAAATTATGCTTACAACACTGCTGTATTCATCCCGTTGCTTGATCTCTCTCGCCGTAGTGGTGTTGTTACAAAACTTCGGTCTTCCCAGAGTCGTAGTTGAATTGAAGCGCGCACTCCTCAGTTCAACGGTGATCCACGAAGGTGAAGTTGCCTCTGTTGATTGAAGTTGATCCAAAATATTTCGACAAATATTGTTGAATGTTCCTTGTATCTTGGAAGACCCTGTCCACAGCGCCAATTTCTGTTACGTCCCAACTGAGGTTGATATATACATCAACGCAGGAATGAAATAGGTACTGATGTACTTGGTTATTGTTGAGTGTATATTTAAGTACAAAATTACAATGTATATAAGCTATAGTGGAGATGTGAGCGGTGTTATGACCTGACTCCAAATGTCTTGAGTATCCCTAACCGTCTGCCGAGCTCTTGTCCCGGGCTGGTATTTATATGATCGAGTCCTTTGGAGTGGGTGGTTGTATCAATGGCCAAATTCGGTCATGAGACTGCGTCCGGGTCTCGTACCTGGTATGCTGGCCGACTCGTATCCTTCGTATGAGTGTTTGACTTTCCTAGAGAGATACTTTTACAGTGTCCCTAGCGTGTTATAATATACTAATTGCCTTATTAATTATATCGTCAAGTACTATTAGAAACATGCGCTACGTCGTACATTGTTATTACTTAATTACTAAATACGTAGGTACGTAACATTACACAAATTTTGTTGCGCACTGGGTCGACCGCTCCAACAGTCCCGTGCTAAGTGATTAGACTTGCCACACGTCACGTGTTGCCGATGATGTGGTAATTACCCCATACGGTGGTAATTTAATCCTCTTTTGGTACATGGTGTGATATAGTTTAAAAGGTGGTAATTTTGTGGTATTTATGAAAATACAAAAAAATGTGGTATTATTTATTATATTTACTTTGAAACCGGCCATTAGAGAACTAAATTGCAATATATTGAATTTTTTTTTTTACTATTATTTGTGGTTATATAATTCACAGATGTTTTCTATAATACCACAGAATAAAATATAAATTTAATCTATTCTGTGATACCTAATACTAATTGATTAACATATTTTGATCGCAGACACGATTTAAGATATAAATCGTGATCGCAGATAAGCAGATTACCTAATCAATGTTTAAACGCGGAACGGTACAAGTTGTACAACTTACTGTTACTGTAAATAAGTTCTGTAGTACGCCAGTCTATACTAACTAGATATGGTACTAGACGAGTTTTACATTGACAGTAGTGAAGCTCGGCGGCGTGCTCTTATCACGCGTCCGCCATGTTCTCGGAGGGCAAAACAATGATTTGAGTGTATGAAAAAGATACAATTTAATTGAATGTTCTTAAAGTATTAAAATATTTTAATTTTTAATTAAACACTTATAAAATTTCAAACACATTTCAGATATTAATTTTAATTCTACTATATATATATTAGGGTTGCCAACTTTGGAATTAAAAAATACCGGCCCAAGTGTACAAAAAAAAAAAAAAAAAAAAGGTCATCATTTTTTAATATTAATATAATAAAATGACGAATAATATAATTAATTACATACGTTAAAATAAAAAAATTAATAATATTAGTATTACATTATGTTAAACTTTAATATTATAAACTTATAAATTATTATAATAACTATTATAAATAAACTATTG